TTCAAAATTTTGAGATTCAAAATTCTTCTCCCAGTTTATCGAAGATTCTTTAAATTTTGATTCAAAATTGTTGAAAATTTTGAGATTCAAACTTCTTCTCCTATTTCATTGAATATCTATTCAATTTTGATTCAAAATTATCAAAATTTTTGAGAATATAATCATGAAGATCTTCGCTAGTCTTGTTACTATCATCGTTAGGGGCCGGTTTGAAGAAGTATTTGTGTGATTCGACAAGGAAAGATTCCCAACAAGATTAAGAACAAAGTTCTCACTTCATTATGAAAAGTAGACAATCAACCTAAATATGCAGAATCATCTGCGTAGAAATTTTGACGAAGCAAATCATGGATATGTATAGGAATACTCTTAGTGCCCTTTTGCGTCCCCAAAACTACTTCTTGTTGTGACTTTGTTATGTTATCAATTCTCTTTGAGAAATTCATTCATCAATGAGAATATAATAATATCTAGTATTCATGTTATCCTACTTTTGCTTGATGTCCAGAATGTTAAAAAAGTCACAACAGTCTGATGCTTGTTCCACCGCCACCGCCGTCGTCATTGTCGCCGTCGTCGCCACCTCTATGGATACATGTTTGTGTGGTAATTGCTATGTATTTGATACATTTATTATAAATTCAAATTTACGTATTATGCCAAAAAAAAAATAGTGCATGATATATTACTATTTATGTGTCTTATTTTGTTAGAGAAATATTGTATTTTATAAAAAGATACATTATACATGTAATTATTTCAAATAACATATTTTGTGTGTGATACATAGCACAGAAGTGATCAGTTGATATGTATATGATACATGTATTAAAGCTAAAAAATGATTGAATTTGATATATATTATGTATCATGCACATATCAATTAATTTGATAACAGTGCCTTAGCTATAGAACATAAAGGGTTTATGTATCAAGTGTATATATTAGGTAATGCATACAGACACAACCTTATAGTTGAATAATTTTTGGTGTATGTATCTGGTAGTAAAAGATTGCCACTAATATGTATAATATACCTATTGTTGAATCTAATACACAGTTCTCCAGTTATAGAACATTATGATTTATGTAACACGATTGAAGATACATTATATAACTTGATATAAGTTAATGATACATTAGGTAGTGTTTATGAATCAAGTACATTTTTATTGAACATGATAAACACTAGTTGAAGATTCAACAACATTAGAGTTATGTATCAGTACCTTAAATATGAACATAATACATTGCATAAAACATAAGTTATTGTAGCAGTGTTGTATCGGATGAGTAATAACACTAACAAAGACTAATTTATGAATCAAAATAAACGAGATACATTGAAAATCTGTATCTTTGGTAGTGATGATCGTGTAATGACAAATCCAACTCTTTTCCTTCTTTCTTTGAGCGTTTTTTCAACAGTAGATTTAGAACTCGAGTATGCATCATTTTTTCGACTTCTCCACTCTCAAATTCTTCATGATTAATGGATTGTTCCGTTGATTAGATCTATTTTCATGAAAATTTTCATCATCAAAATTAAATACACAAGGTACCATATCTCCGGTAGGTGAAACTAATTTGGGCAAATCCAATACTAAAAGAGGAAGAAGAATCCATATGTATCGGAAATTTGTAGATGAAAAAGCTAATTTTTTTAATAAAAAAAACGACAATTAAAGAATTGGAAAGAAAAAAATTGATGACGAAATAGTTCTCCCTCTTAAGGAACTTGAAATCGATGAATTGGAGAGAGAATAGATTTGAAATTCAAAAATGGAGTGATGGATATAACTGCCGACATATGAGAGTGATTTTAGGCGTGAAAATAGGAACAAAATCGTTGGGTTGGAAGGGTTGTGAATAATGTATCCGGAAAAGGAGAAAAAAAGGGATTTTGTAATTTTTTAAAATGGTAGAAAGTTTTAAAAAACATGAAAAGAAAGGTTGTGTAGTTAAGTAATTTTTCGTAACTATAATCCTCTAAACCCTTTTTTCTTATCTCTTCTAAACAAATTGGGTCAGCCCACTGTAATCCATGGCCCATAATCAATTGTACTTGAAATGTTGGATAATTACTACTCCCTCCGTCCCTATTTACTTGTCCATATTTCATTTTTTAGTTGTCCCTATTTAGTTGTCCATTTTGACAAATCAAGAAAGGACAACAAATTTCTTCCTATTATACCCTTATTTACACTTCTTGAAAATTGTAAAAGTGTATGTTGTTTCCCTCCAATTTATTTCACTTGAATTCAAATAAGTGGTTGTAATTTTGAAGTGAAAAGTTGTCATAAGGGTAAAATTGTAACTTCACTGTGCTAATCATTGTTGCCTTAATCTGTGTGCCATTTCTAAAATGGACAACTAAAAAGGGACGGAGGGAGTATCATGAGGATAATTGGGTTCATGAATATCATAAAACTTTTTTAACTAATGAATAATGGTTTTTTCCTAATTAAATAAAACAAAAGAAAATAAGAATATAAAATAGGGAAAATACATAAGTTACCCATTTTAGTTGCACATAAAGTTATTTATACACTGATATTTCATGAGCGACCTAAAAGAAATAAGTGAAAATGACCTAATATACCCCTCAATTAGCTGATATATCCTCTGTTGTAAAAGTAGCTCACATATACCCCTATCGTTACAATAATGACTCACATATACCCCTACCATTACAAAAGTAAAAAAATAAATTTAAAATTTATTATTTTAATTTTTAATTTTTTAAAAAATCATCTATTTGATCTTTTTCACACATACATCATTTTTTGACTTCTGATTATTATTATTTGAGTTTTTTATTCTTATTTTTTTTTCTTTCATTCTTTAGTGTAAAAATAAGAGAAATGAAAAGGAAGAAGTGTGAATGAGAAAATATTAAATAGTTAAAAAAGAATTTAAAATTATTTTTTTGCGGCTATATTGTAATTTAGATTTTATATATGTAAAAAAATATATTTGGGACATTTATACTAAATTTTACAAAAAATTAGGTGAAAAAATATATTTGACCATCAAAACAATAAATTCAAATCATCCTTATTAGTAATTGGTCGTCAAACCTTTTAATGGCTTTGATTGAGCCTTCAATGTTGGAGTTGAATTGGACGTTCTTTGCCAAGAAGAACGTTAGATTGAGAGCTGTTTGAGAATGATAATCCTTTCTATATATACACATATATTATCAACATCTTTGAGAAGAAAAAAGATACATACATATATTCTTCCTTTTAAAATATATAATAGTTTTTTTTTTATGAATCGTTGTCAGTTTCTGTGGTCCTAGTTTATACTAGAAGGGTTTGTTGAATCCTGGGGATACACCTATATCAAATGAAATATACTAAAGCAGGGGCGGACCCACCCATGGCCAAGGGGTGTTAAACGACACCCCTTTGCCGGAAAATTACATTGTATATAGAGGTTGAATTTTGGTTTAATATATATATATATTGATATCTCTTGACACAAAGGAAATGTTTAGTCTAGTGGTTAAGGAGTTGCAAGTTTCTCAAGATTGCGTGGTCAAGCCCTAGTTGCCACGTCCGCCACTATACTTAAGAACAGTGTTTTTAACATGCTATGAGAATTTCTTACAAGTGTTCGTGACGAAATATTTTTCATTAAGATTTCCAACACAACTTCGCTACCGTAAGATCCATTTGCACAATTGGCATTTGGCAGTTGCCATGCTTGAGGAGTAGGTATAACAAGTCTAATTTTTTATTAGTTAGCTTTAATTTTGTGACACATGAATCGATGTATATTGTGGTAGGTTTTTCCCCTTTCATGTCCACTTTTTTTATATGTTTGATCACTCAACCTTGTATAAAATGGAGGTTACATCCTTTCCCCCCTTCACCCTTTTGCTGGTTCAAAGATGAAATTTACAAGGTTGGGGTCACGCCAAATCCTCTAAAGCCCTTTGGTCATTGATCGAGGTGATTGACTTTAAAATATATATAAAAATAAAATTAGCTTAGCCTTATTTATTTTATTTATGAATTTTTAAGGAACGTGTAACGTGTCAACTAATATTGAGGGGAGAGTAATTTGTATCGAAGGGGAGGTGGTTGTGTTACCTCATTTTAGCTGTTTGTAAGGTTGGAAAGTCTTTTTCCACTTCCTACCTTAATATTCTTTCAGCTTAATTCCTAACCAAATTGTTTCTACTTGTAACCTACTCAAAAGAGACATGGCCAACTAACACCCACCATTAATTTTATTTCTTAATGCTTTTAATTATATCCATTCTTTTTTATTCTCTTTTACCTAATATTTAATACTTCTGCCTCGCTGGAACTAAATGATGCCCTCTAATTAGCTGGTAGATTACATGAACTTAATAATTAAGTCAAGCTGGTGGATTATTGGTTTAATATTCCCTTCTTCGAATCAAATATAATTTCGTTTATGAATTAATAAAAAAATATTCTTGCATCTCTCTCAAAAAAGTACATTGAGCCCCCTTTTTTTTCTTTATATATTGGAATTAAGAATATATAAATATTACATAAATCTCATAGTGTCAAGGCCTAATTAATCTTATTTCTATTATTTTTTAAACAACAAAAATACTTTAAAATTATCGGATCTCGAATACATCAAGAAACATGTGGATACATAGCTCATAAATGTATCCGAGCAAGGAGGGATATGTCTGAGAGGGGATATGAATGTATCCGAAAGGGTATTTTTGTAATTTTTTTAAATGATAACAAATTTGAGAGATTATGGTAAAAATAAGAGGTGTATTTAGATAAGAATAAAGCATTGGATATAATACTAGCTAGCTTACCCCACATACATATAGATCAATCATATTAATTACAGAAAATGAAAATAAGTTGCCAATAATTAATAATTGTCAGCTTATAAAGGAAGCATGGCAAATAGTTTTGGCTCCCCTTTTCAATTCTTTAATATAATGGAGCATAAAGTCTATCAAACTTTATAATAATGGAGAAATGAAAAAAAAGCATCGCCATCATTTCTAAGTCCACCTCTCTTATTTTTCCATCATCGTCTCTTCTTCATTGATCATTTGAGTTTAATTTCTTCTTCGAATATTGATCAGAAAAATTAATAGAAGCAAATAAAGATGGATTGTTCTATATGTAGCGCGATGCCATTTATTCTAAGGCCACCAAGAAATACTATATGCGCAGCTTGTTATGAGGGAGCTAGAACTATAATTACGTTGACTACCAACAAGCTTGATCATATTGAAAATACAAAAGGAAGTGATAATAAAACAGTAACTGGAGTTCTTTCTGCTTCTTCATCCAATCCATCTATTAAGGTATGTATATATCATCATCTCTTTCTCATGGTTGCTTGTAATACAAGGAATTAACGACAGATAAAATTTTATATCTAGACAATAAAAATTTCATGTTAATCTCATTTAGCTATGGATTAATGATGAATTATAAGAAAATTCAATTATCTATGAGTTTTTATAGCGATCGATTAACCAAGGATTGCTGAGAAATTTCGTACATGTTTTCTAATAGTGATACATTATTTGTTCCAAAATATGACGTCATACATATGTATATGATGACAAGATGGAAATGGAATATAACTTTTTCTTTATTTTTTTAGTTTTTTTGTGCGAGAGAGGATTTCCTTTGTCATAAATGTTACTATAACAATTATTGTTCACACACAAAGTTAAAAAAAAAAGTTTTCGACCCCAAGTTTTACAATTTCAACAATATTGATCCTTTGATGGTGGTTGTAGTCTAACATTTTGTTTCGATCTAGACTCGCACGACTTTAAACCTAAGCAAATCTCATAACAAAATATGTGAAAGATGTTGCACATATAAAGAAGCTAGTCTTAATTCCTAAACTGTGTTTTGAAAAAGGTGGGAGTCTAGGACAAAAATGGAAAATATCAATAGTTGGCTCCATTGTTAGATATTAATTACAAGATAAAAGAAAGAACATTGGGAGAAGGTTATATTTCGTTTAATTTTTTACTGCTGATTTTTATTATAAACAAATAAGCAAGGAGCACAAAGAGAAATTGAAAATTTTGAGTGTTAGCGTGCAAGAACAATTTGCAAAGCAGTAGCTTGAGGCTAAACTATGTAGCACAAAGAGAAATTGGAATAAAGTCAATATGTTGCTTCAAACCCTTTTGTTTTAATGTACTACTTCAATTGAACTACTTCCTCTGTTCCAAAATAATGACATGATTAATTAGCAGTTGAAAGTTGCACATGTGTAATTTTGCTCTATTTTTGTATATTGATATGGATATTGTTTTCTTGATTTTTATTTTTGGGGTGGGTGGGTTGGGGATGTAGGGGTGAAGGAGGATCAAAATTCACATATTCAAAAATTGCAGATTTGTCACTTAAAATTAGAAATATTTAAAATATACTTTTTCCGTCTCATTTTATGTGGCATCATTTTTTTTAATTCCTCCAAAAAAAAATGTCTTCTTACTATAATTAGAAGCAATTTAACTTTAAAATTACCTTTTTACCCTTGATGAAATGATTTACAACCATACAAATATCAAAGAATTGTTTTAAATCACAAGTTTCAAAAATCTTCATTTTTTTGCTTAAAATCGTACTAAGTCAAACGATGCCACATAAAATAAAATGGAGAGAGTATTTGATATAAAACAAATACAAATTGTCTGACTCTCCAATAAGTAATCATGATTCTTCTTACTAAAGCTTGTTTGGATTGACTTTTAATTTTTAACTTATAAGCCAAAAATCATAAGTTATAATTTTCAATTTATGACTTTAATTCTATTTTATCATTTTAGCTTAAAATTAAATATTTATAAGCGTTTTTTTAATTCACTCAAACACTTTAAAAGTGATTAAAAAGCTATATATTTTGACTTAAAAATACTTGAAATAATGGGAAATTTAAGGAAATTCCACTAGTTTAGGGGCCAATTACTTAGATACACTCTAATTTGTAATATTACGAATCTTACCAGATTTTGGTGTGTCCAGAACTCCAGATACATGGGGTCAAAATTAGGTGTAATTTGTTCTACATACATTATATCCAAGTGGATTCATATGTATCTGGGATACATAACAAAACTCACTTGTCTCCCTCCTATCCCGAGTACATGCGAACCACACTAGATACATAGACGACTCTTGCATATAAAATTTGAGGCATATGCCTTAGGCCCCAAATTTTGGGGACCCTCAAATTCTTACCAAGAATAATTTTTTTGTTAATATTTTGTATAAAATTATATTATTTTGTTCTCCTTAACTTCAAATATAATAAATCAATTATTTTCGCTAACACTCATATTATTTATCTGGTTGCACTCTATTTCTTCAAATCTTTGATAAGTTAGAGTAATAGTCTGTCAAAAATATGAATCAATAGTAAAAAATTGTTGAAAAAAGTAAATTACATTTTTTTAATTTCGTCTTAAATTTTCAAGCAATACGAAAAACATATAAAGTAGGATATACTAGGTTATCAACTTCTTGAATCAAATTCTATGATTTTAACTCTTAATTTTATTTAAAGTTTGTCAACTTATTACTTAGAATTATGTTAATAATTCATATAGTAATCGCCCCAGTAAAAGAGTATTTTCTAATGTTGAATTGATAAAATCTTACCTAAAACTAATAATTAAAATTAAAAAAAAGAAAGCTATTTGATGAAATCATCTACAGAGAAATTTTAAGTAAAAATTTACATCTAAAAGTTAGAAAAATAATTTTTAAATAAATACATTTGAAGTTTGTTTAGATTATAAACTTCTAATTGAAATTTTGCTTTAGGCCTCCAATTACGTTGAGTCGCCTCTAAATACAAATTCATATATCTAGTGTGATTCGTATGTATCTAGTATACATATCTGGTATACATGACTATCTCACTCATCTCTCACGCCATCTCGGTCACCTCTCCCTATTTTGGTATATCTGGTAGCAAAAAAAATATTTATCTTGGTGTATCTTCCTCTATATATTATAAAAAAAAAATCTTAATTAATGGTAAGATACGTAATTATTTAAAAGTATATATAAAATTAATATATATTAGTATATAGATGTATGGCTAATAAGCTAGCTAGTTCTCCTAAAAGAAAAGCAATTAACTTGATGAAAATATAATTGGACCTTTCTACAAAAGTGAAAAGCTATATCTTCATAACATAAAAAATATTGAATTGACCAATTATCTTATTTATTGGATCTGAAAATAATGAATAATTACAGGGATTTGGAAATGCGTTGAAATGGGTGAAAGAAATGAAGGAGATGGAAGAGGAATTAAAGGAGAAGCTGAATTATCTTAGTGGTTTTGTTGTTGCCTTGAGAGATCATATTCATACTGATATTTTAATTAAACCTGGCAATGATGCTCCTTGTATACCAGCACATAGAGCTCTTCTGGTAATAAATTAAACACATTTTTATTATTATTCCGTTATCTCAATAATCACTTCATGGAAACATTTTACTTTAACAGGCAGCTAGATCTGATATATTCAAAAACATACTGGACTCAGATGGATGTAAAGCTCCACCAAGTGACAACACAATAACATTGTCTGAACTAAACTACGATGAATTAGAGTGTCTATTAGAGTTCCTGTACAGTGGAGATTTGGCTAAAGAGAAGGTGGAAAAACACGTATATTCGTTGTCAATTGCAGCAGATAAGTATGAAATTCCATTCTTGCAGAAATTTTGTGAGAATCAAATGTTGGGATCATTGAACACATGGAATGCTCTTGATGTTTTAGAGATTTCTGATACTTGTTCTAATACGTCGTTAAAGGAGACAGCGTTAAACTTCATTGTTAAGAACATGGAGGATATTGTGTTTACACCTAGATTTGATGCATTTGCACTCAAGAATCCTCATTTAACTGTACAGATTACTAGGGCTTCTTTTATAGACATTAAAAATAGAAGGCTTACTGTTTGATTATATTCTTGTGTTAATATTACTAACATATTGTATGCTACAAGAAGGAAATTGGCAAATTATACAATATTTCTTCCTTGTTACTTCCATAGTCTAACTAATCTTCTTAATTAGTCTTCGGCTCGGCCCAATATATAAATTATTAAGCAATTTTCACATATAGCAAAAATAAAAATCATATTTGTATGTTATAGCTATAGTTTGTATAATTGCGCTCCATAACAAACTTTTTGTTTGCTATGACTATTAATTTGTATATTTCGGTATACATATACATAAAAAATATGTATTTGGGTCTATTTGTATATTTCGGTATACAAATGGGTTCTGCATTTGTATATTTCGGTATACAAATGGGTCCTGAATTTGTATATTTTGGTATAAAAATGGGTCATGCATTTGTATATTTTGGTATACAAATGGGATGACAAAAAACATAGAATGTTTGCTGCGAATTACAAATAAAAGAAACTATGGCTTAGCATTTTGAATTAATAGTTTGTTATTTCATACAATTTTAAATTGATTGATCGATATTGGGCTTTGGGAGCTAACTAGGTAGAGTACTTCAACAATTTGGGCCTGAAACCATATCATAGGCCATGACCTTGTGTTGTCCAAGCCCAAAAGGCCGAAACCCCCTTCTGTGGTGTTGGAACTTAAGACATCAAGTTTCTAGATGGTGGATGCTTGAAAGTAGGGCTTGTTACGTACTTGTACAGGTGACAAAAAAAATTCAATTAAATGATATAATGTATTGATATTATATAGATAGGTATATATGATGTATATACATCCATATATGTTGTGTATACAATATTTACACACATGTATAATAGTTGGATTATTTTGGGTAAGGAATTTCGATTCAATGAACATTTTGTCTAATTTGTCCTTGAATGTATGTCTATGAAGTCATTCATTTCCTAATTTATGAGTTTGATTCAATCCATAAGAATCCATCTTCCTAAATTTGCCATTGAGTTGTTTCACATAATTAATCGATGAATGTAACAAGCCTGCAAGTGGATAGCATCGGGGCGGGGCGGGGAACCATCAAGTTGAAGCTCAAGTGTTCATTTTCTCTTAGTGTTTTGTCTGAATGGAGTAGGAATAAGAGAGGGGGGGGGGGAGGGAGTAAGTAGAGAAGGAGGAGAAGAAAAGGGTGATGATGCTAATTGAGTGTGTCATGTTTTAATGAAAAGGAAAGGAATGATAAAAGGGCTAATACTTGCATATTTCTCCTTTCTACCCCAAAAAATCATGTTTGACAATATTTACTAGGTTTAAATTATATACATATCGTAAATGTAAAGATTTTTCACATGATTAGGTCATTTTTACTGCCTAATTAACAAGTTTGTATTATTTTCAAGATTATAGATTCTATATTTTAAAAAAATTTACCCGTTTATATAATATATCCTTCCAATAACTTGATAATATAAAAAATAAATTTACACTAATATTGTATGTAGCTTAAACTACTATCATATCATGTTCGCACATGCCAACTTAACCTTGATCATAACAATGCCAAACATTTAATTTAATGAAATGATTTATCAAAAAATAGAACTCCTTTTATTCCTCATTCTTAATTCAAGCATGTTAAGCATTTTGACCTAGATCTCAATTGATGAATTTCAACTCTAATACTCATCATTGTGATGATACGTATATGACTAAGCATATATACATGTGTGTCTACTGTACTTCATTAATAGGATACATACCTTTTTATTCATTTTTGGCATAAATATAGAAAAATTAGGCAATGTAAAGAATTATATGACCTTCGATATGGAGTTATATATATATACCATATGATACCAAGTACCGATCCTGGATAATTTACCGTTAACACATGGTAAATAAATAATATAATCTAGTACTAGTATTGCTGTCTAGTATGTATCACGAGGAGGAAAATTCAATATGAGTGACCATCAATAATTGAAGCAAAAAATGTTGCACTAAAAACCATATTTCTTACTTAGGGTTCCATTTTCTGAATGTAAAAGATTACCTTTTGGCATTTATCACAGGTATATATTAGGCTGTCAAGAAGGGCTCAACTGTACTTGATAAAACGTAGATTTTGCGTTTCTCAAACAAATGTTGTCAGCAGAAAGTTGGTAAAATTGCCAGCATTTATTATTTTTGAATATCTGTTTTTCTTATTTTATTTTTCATCAGAATCTTAAATTATTATATATAACAAACACAAACACCAGCAAGTGTCTAAATCACATACACGCATCACACACTTCAAATTGTCTTTTAATGTACCTCAGACAACAACCTCAACTCATAATAATTAAATTTTTTTTTAAAATAATTTTTTATTAAGTTTGATCTGCTTAAATTAATCAGTCCCTTTTAAGTAATTTAATTAATTACGGTAACTTCTTGTAATAGACACACATAATTAAGTAGCTAGAAGGCCTATGCCTTTCCCACTTTCCTGGAGACTAAATTTGAATAAACTGACATAGGAAGTACTACTTGAAAGAATAGGGATAAAATTATTCAACTTATACAATAAAGAAGCAAACTAATTTAGAGTATACACAATAAATAATTAAAGAGTACGTAGCTAGGATTTTATTTTATTTTTTGAAATTGTAATTACACATGGGACGTGAAAATAGAACCGTGGAGAGTCATTTGACTGGGAAAAATGAATGATCTTTGACCATTAAAATTGATGAGTTAATGAACTAGCCAATAATTCCTTATCGATAATTAATATAACTGTCATAGCTAGCTAGGAAGATGATCGGGAAAGTTAAAATTAAAGAGAAAAAGGAAAAGAGATATGATAGTAATAATTAATAATAGTAATAGCTAATCAAACTATATTATATATTGATTAATTAGCCTTGCTCTTTGCTTTCATTCCAGTTCTTAATAGCTTCAAAAACTGCCTCTGTCACCACTTGGGCATTAATCATGGCTTCTTCATCCTACAAGAACCAATTTTTGTCAAGAAATAACTCATTAATTATTCTTTCAAAAACACATGAAAGAAATGAAATTTTTACACACTTTTTTGTAAAACAATTTGAATAGTAATCGTAGATGAATGAATAATTACCTCTCCCCCAAATGCTTGTAAACGAAAGGTGTCGGTGCAAGAAACCCTAGCTTCAAGGACGTTAAGGCCAAGGTCTTCAAGAACTTGTAATATGGAAACAAGCAAGCCAGGGCAACTTCTTTCTGAATATACATTTACTAAGAAACCTTTTTCTAGGGTTTCCACTTCAATTTGCTGGAAAACAAAATACAGAATCATCGATCGATCGATCACTTTTATATGTTGGAAAAAGTTTAAGTATTAGAGAGTCAAGAAAAGGAGATGAGTCAAAACTTACTGGCCATGAAGAAGTCTTGTTGTTTGAATTTGTTTGAGGGGTAGTAGTAGTAGTTATGTCTTCATTTAGCCTTTCCACTTTGTGTTTGAGTTCTTGAATATACTTTGATGCATCTACTATGATTGAGCTTTCACTAAGCTGCATGAAAATGCAAATTAATTAGTCACACTTTGGACTTGGGAATTGCAACAAATTAAAGAAGCAATATAAATCTACAATTCATAGGGTCAAAAAAAATTAGAAACCTCAAACTTGGTAATTTTGTACTTGTATATATATTCATCAATAATTCATCTATTTACTACTACAAAAAGTATAACAAAATGAATGTGTACATATATAGAATTAAGAAAGAACAAATAAATGTCATGTCATGTCATGTCTAATTCCCCTTTTTACTCTCTTTGAGGTGCGGAGTAGATGAGGAAGATATTAATTGACCCAAAAAGACTAAATCAATGAAAGATCAGAGAAATTTTAGTAGTTGATCAGTTGATTGACTATTTAAACTTTCACCTAATCAGTTAGGGTTTGATTCCCCATCTCGTAATTCTCTTCCCCTATGCCCAATTTTTTTTTTAAAAAATGTTGAAGAATGAGAAGAGAAAGTAAATATATGTAGAATGGATGAGAGTCGAGAATTACAGCATGAGATTTAGTGATTGATCGAAGAAGTTGCAATTTTTCATGCAGCACTGAGGCTCTTTTCTGCTCCCTCGATACCATTATATTGATCTTTTTCTGAGATTTAATGTTTTTCTCTTTCTCAGCTCAAAAGCTAAGTCTCTTTAAATAAAGTATGTAATAATAAGAGAGGAGGTCTCCTCTCATATCAATATCCCCTATTTAATTTGTTTGCTTCCATGACACCTCATCCCATCACAAGTTCATTTCTTATTCTCATACATTATTATCAAAAAAAGATGCCCTTTGGATAAGAAACACATAAATAAATAATTCAATATCCTTCACGACAAAAACAATAAACATTAACCTACAATTACAAGGGTATAATCCTCTCGATAAGGGTGATATTGTCTTTTCTGGGGCTAAATTCGTATAACTTTAAAACATGTCATTAGCGTATAAGGTTTGTTTTAATTATACCATTTTAGAGCAGCTCAGCCCACAAGTGATATGATCCTGAGCCAAAACATACAGGCTTTAATACTCGACACTAGTGTGATGTGTGATTACTTATATACCCAATATTTCTCTTGTATTTTATCGATGTGAGACTTCTTATCTTAAGTGGAGTATCACCACCACTTACTTACTTATCAACTCTTATGTAGCATAACATAACACGGTAAATTGTCATAAGTAACTGAATATTGTTACTTGGGGGATTATTTATCGTTACTAGAGTTGGATGTGCAATAATCGAAATAATCAATAATGCACCCCCTTGTCCAAAATTAATTGATGTTTTAACTTCTAAAAATTGGTCACAAAAGACTAATGTTTCACAAAATCAACAATTTACCCTTGCTACATTCCTAATTCATCTATAAATTTTATTGATAGTTATGTCAACCTACCACAAAAATATTTTAGTCAAACTTCATTTTTTAGTCCCCGTTGTCACGGACTTAGAGTTTCGTGCCTCTCCACAACTCTAGATTC